CTGTGCATCTAATGGGTTAGGTCAGGCTAGGCTGTGTGCGGTAACAGCCCCCAGTCTCAGCGGCTTCGCCTAGAATGGGTCTGTTTCTTGCGTGTAGAGTCCACTGTGTGTCCGGGTGACTGTCCAGGCAGCTCTCCTCACGCCAAGGCTGGCCGGGCTGCCCAGTGTTGAGGCTCTGTTACCTTGCACAAGGTCCCCAGGTTGTCATGGAGGGGACATGAGTGATGGAAGATCCCCACCTGCCTGTCCCAGAAGTGGCATCGCTCCTTCCAGCTGTCAGTCAGAACCTGCCCCACAGCCCTGCCTGGCTGCCCGGGGGCTGGGAAGTGTGGGGAGCCCCCAGGCTGCCTGACGAGCCGTGTTTCTGCACTGCTGGCCCAGGTCACTGGACAGTGGCAAATGGGGTGAGAGCTGGTGTGATGGTACAGCAGCTCCGTGACAGCCGTGGTCAGCAGGTTAGGTCACGGCCGCATCTGTCTCTGCCTGGTACTGAGTCTGATGGGGGAGGGTGTGCGTGTCCAATGGGGGAGGGTGTGCGTGTCCGATGGGGGAGGGTGTGCGTGTCCGATGGGGAGTGTTTCCTGAGGATCTTGGTCGGTGAGGAGGCTGCCAGCAGGGTGGAGATGGCAGCTCTGTTGGCTGAGGCTGGGGGAGAACTGGGCTCAGCGTACCAGGCGAGCAGTACCAGTGCTAAGAATAATGATGATGCCACCTGTGCATGAGCTGGCCTCCTGTCTTTAGTGCTGTCAGCCCCTCAGGAGCCTGTGGGCTCACTGGGCCAGGGAATTGGTGGCTCAGGTAGGGGAGGACATTAGTGCCGGTCACCCCCTGGCAGGTGGCAGAGCTGGGACTTGAATTCGGACTCTGCCTGTGTGTGGCCCTTGGCGCTGGTCTCCGCCCATTCCTCGCCATCCTTCATCACCTGCTCACTGGCCAGTCTCGCCCATTCCCAGACATTTCCCACGCTCACAGCACAGGGTCAGGTGTGAAGCCGGGCTCCCTACAGATCCATTCGAGGGAGGCAGGAGGGCTCGGAAGCCCCCGTGGGGTCAGTGGTGTGGGCAGGTTCCCATGTCCCTACAGCCCTGGGGCCCCCAGACGACTCACATCCACACGTGCTACCCCCTCACCCTGCCCTTTACCTCCTGTCCCCCAGGGCCTGTCCATGCGCTCCTGGTGCCCAGGCCGCTGCAGCCCACCTCTCCTATGTGCACAGGTGGGGGCCTTCCTCCTGCATTCCTTTTCTCAGTGTCGCTCCCACCCCACAAAGCACTGTAATTAGCCGCACACCCCGGCCTCCTCAGGGAGGAGAGTCAGAAATAGACTGGCTTCCCCAGCTCAGGCGACACCTGCATGTCAGCGTCATCGCTGCAGTTTTCTGAATCAGGAGAGAGAGACGCTGTGGGCGGGAGCTGGGGAATCCCTCAGGGTGCTGAGCCCCGCCCGGCCTGCTCCCCGAGGCCTGGCCCCTCAGCGCCCACAGCCCAGCCTCCCTGAGCCCTGTCTCTGCAGGTCCTGGAGTGCCCTGGCCCTGAGGATGCTCTGGCAGCATCCATCTCGGGCCCTTCGGACACGCTTCACAGTGAGGGTGACGGGCCACGGGCTGTGTTTGCTCTTTCCTTTCTGCCACTCACGTCCGCCTGTGAAGGCTCGGGGGTCTGCGGGCAGTGAGGCCTGATCATATGACCTCTCTGAGCCTCGATGGTCTCATCTGTACAGGGGGCACAGTCGTGCTGGGTGCATGATGTGACAATAGGGCTGCTGTCACTCTTGCTTTTGAAAGGAGGACTGAGCTGAGTTTCAGGCAGCAAATGGATGAAATGCTATGTTTTATGTACAGAGGGTGCC